CTTAGGTTGTCACTGTGAATTGTGTCACTTGTGGGGTTCAGGATATGGATAACCGTCTCTGAAATTACAAACTTAGGGAGTGGGTGGAGTTGTCTGTCTGAGTGGCAATGGAAGAGAAGGGCTACATCCCAAGGGACTGCTGGACAGGTATGGCAAGACAGGCCAGCCACTCAGTGTGAGACTGGATGGGCGGTGCCTTAGTTCCCAGACTACAGGTCCTATAGAAGCTGGGGACATAAATTTCCTCAGATGCTTCTTAAAGAAAGCTGCTGAGGTGATGTGAGCCTTTTAATACAAGCACTCGGGAGACATCTCTAAGTTTAAGGCCAACCTGGTCTAGAGTGAGTTCCAGGGAAGGAAGGAAGGAAGGAAGGAAGGAAGGAAGGAAGGAAGGAAGGAAGGAAGGAAGGAAGGAAGGAAGGAAGGAAAGAAAGAAAGAAAGAAAGAAAGAAAGAAAGAAAGAAAGAAAGAAAGAAAGAAAGAAAGAAAGAAGGAAGGAAGGAAGGAATGCTGCTGAAGCTGGGAAGGCGGGTCCTTCAGCCAAGTGTTTCCCAGAAAGCACAAGGACCGGAATCCACATTTTAAAATATGAGGCACCACATGCTTAGAATCCCAATACTATGAAGGGATGAACAGTGGCTGCTTGGGGCTTCCTAGCCAGCCAGCCTAGCCTACTTGGCAAGTTCCAGGACACAAAGATTTTATACCCATTCCCAAAAAACCCCCAATGGACAGTACATGAGAAACCACACCCAAGGTTGTCCTCTAGCCTCCATAGACACACACATACATGTTCCCCAGCATACATGCACATACACCATACACACACATATACATCACATACACAAAGAAGTGGCTGAAACCGCTGACCCACAACGCAGAGGAATCCATAAGGAAGCAGGGGAGAGGAGTCTCCATCTGCGCCTAACTCGCCTAACTCGCAGAAAGACAGGCATGTCTGCAGGGGGTTGTCTTAGTTAACCCTTCTATCACCATGACCAAGTCAACTTATAGGAGAAACATTTAGTTGGAGGCCTGCTTACAGTCTCAGAGGCTTAGGCCATGGTCATCTAGGAGGGAGCATAGCGGCAGACAAACATAGTACCAGAGCAGTCGCTGAGAGCCCTGATCCTAAAGGAGGCAGAAAGAGAACGACCAGGTTTGGTATAGGTTTTTGAAACCTCCAAGTCTGCCCCCAGTAACACATGTCCTTCAACATGGCCACACCCCCTAATCCTCCCCAAACAGTTCCACTCTCTGGTAACCAAACATTCAAATAGATGAGCCTATGGGAGCTATTCTTAACATACACAGGTGGCTATTCTTAAACAAGAGCTTTGAGGCCCAAAGATAGTGAGCAGGATTTTCAGGACCTAGAGTCAGTCAGGCCATTTCAGTCCCCACCAGATACACATGTGTTCAGCTGGCCCACTGGGGTTCTCCAGATCTGGGGAACACTGGCGAAGCTCGCCCCTAAGGAGCTTCTATCCTGAGGGAAAGAAAGAATTTTAAGGAAGCTATTACAATTTATAGGTCTGGCTACAGAGACCTGCTGAAGATGCAGGAATAGACAGATAGACTTTGGGCCCTTGTCTCAGCCAACGGGTCAGAAAGCCACCTGGACAAGGTGACACATGAAAAGCTTGAAAGATAAGTAATTTCTGAACTTAGGCCGCAGGAAGACTACCTACAGAGCTCGTTAAAACAAACGGCTGGGCCCTACCCCAGAACTACTAATTCACCAAATCCTCTTGGAGGCAATTAACCATCATTTCTGATAAGTTCCTGGGAGTGCCAAGAACAGAAATGTCACATCCCCGATCCCAGGATGGTCTGGCCAGACACAGGGGACTTCTAGGAGAGTGGAGCTTGGGGGACAACAGCCGGCCCTTGATGGCCTCCTGGCACACGTTCCAGAGCCTGGACTGGCCACCGCTACAGTGGGAAGTCTACTCAGAAAAGCCTCCACAGTGCTTTCCTCTCAGCAACAGACCAAGCTAGTGTATCTTAGCCAAAACGCCCCTCACCAGAGGGATTTCAGATTCAGCTTTTGAAAACTGAGTAACGTTGATATATACATAAGAAGATAGCCTGAGGAGGGGATCCAGGTCCAGACTATTTGTTCCATATATACCTAATAACAGCCTGAAGATAACTTTGCAGAACGTTTTGTTCATCTTTGAATTAGCATACAGAATAATGAGCTTCACTGTGGCATTTTCATGTGTACGTGTCAGTTCATTCAAATTCATCCCGCTCCACCACCGTGACCTTCCCCGTGCCCTGTAGCCCACCTCTGGCTGGTTTCCCAGACAGTCCTGGCCTTCTGTTTTCAGCACATGTAGAATCACTTCCTCCCACCTCCATTTGTGATTATTTCCTCTTTTCTCATGATCCCCTTTCTAGTCATGACCTACATAAACACACACATGCACACACACAACCCACAAGCACACATACACACACAACCTTTAAGCACACATACATATACACACAACCCATAGTAAGCACATACACACACATACACACACACACACCCCCCACAAGCACACACATCTGTATATAATTTTAAAAAGACTCCACAGATGAGAGGAAAACTGCAGTGTCTGTGGGTGTGGCTTTATTTCGTTTAACATAATGCTTTCTGGTTCTGTGCATTTTCCTGCAAATGTCATGGTTTCGTTTTCTTTACGGATGGCTAAATCTCTATTGCGTGTGTGTAACCGTTTACCCATTCCTCTGTTCACGGATAGCTAGACTGGTTCCATGCACTGGCCATTACACATTTTCTTAAGAATTTTGTACATGCAAGTATTTTATGATTTTCAGAATTTTCTGTGTGTGGCATTGCATGGGCTCTCGAGCTGCCTTGGATTTTGGAGCTTGCTAGCTTTGGGAGTTTTCAGAATACAGATGTAAACATGTTAGACCTACGGATGTAATCATGGCAGAAGTGCCCTGGATTAAGTACAGTGTGCAGGAGAGCTAGTTAATCACCCACCACAACCCTCTGATACAGGCATGGGATCCTCATCTTAAGGACTTGGCTGCAGGGACTGGGGAGATGCTGTACAAGCAAAAGGACCAGAGTTCAGATTCTCCAGATCCTGTGTAAAAGCCACAGCTGTGTGTACCTTTATGACTCTACGGCCTCAGGCTGCTAGCTGTGGGGAATCCTCGGCTAGTCACCAACTGCTCTGTTCATTCCATCTGATAGCTGGTCAGCCTTAGCTGTTTTGAGAGACTCAGTGCCTTCTGCTGAGATCTGCTGCTTCTGCCTGCCGCCACCTGGCCTGGGAAGGGAAGCAGAAAAGGTGGGTTCCGGAAGCTTACTGGCCAGTGAGTTTAGCCAAAATGGTGAACTTTGGACTGAATGAGGGGTGCTATCTCGAAGAATAAGGTGGAGAGTGATATGGCATGACATGGCAGAGGTACATGTACCCACAGATATGTGCACATATGTGACACACACAAGGAGAGAGAGACAGACAGACATTTGAAAAATGATTTCAGTGTTCAGACACAGAGGAGTCTGAGTCTGCTCAAGGACACACAGCTCCATGGGATGGTGTCAGGATCCACACCTAGGCTATCCTCCTCTCTGCTCGTTGGTTGGCTCCATATGGCTTCCAAGAGCCAACGACCTAGTTTTGTGGGTCCCACCAGGTCTGAAATCATCACTTTCTGGGCCAGGTGGGGGCAGGCAGAAGCAGCAGATCTCAGCAGAAGGCACTGGGTCTCTCAAAACAGCTGAAGTTGACCAGCTACCAGATGGAATGAACAGAGAAGTTGGTGTCTGGCCAAGGATTCCCCACAACTAGCAGCCTGAGGCTCTAGAGTCATGCCAAGCTGCCTTTAAGCTTTGGCACCTGCTGCCCATGTCCCCAAGCTCATTCATCTCTATGCAGTTTCATTTCCTCTCATCAAAACAAGGTCATAATTCTACTTTCACAGGATGGCCATGAAGGAAAAGTGGAATAGGATGGCTCTGTAACATAGACTGAGAGAATGTCACTCTTCCTCCCCAGACCCTCAGTGAGCCATCTCCATCATCTCTAGAGTGCAGTCTCTCCTGAGACCTTGCAACCTGAGAGGATGGAGGCTGAAAGGCTGCTCCTGGTAGCCAGAGTCTGGAGACATTATTCCAACAGCTGGAACATTAGCCAAAAGTGCCAGGCTCTCCCTGGTAACCCAAGAAACAAGATGGGTATGCCCTGGTGCCAGGCCTTGCCTTGGGTGGCCTCTTAAGGGACACAGTCAAAAGGCATGAGGAGACCCTACTCCTGTGGCACTCTGGAGATCTCAATGGAGTGGGCAGGAGGAGAATTTAGGAGTTGATGATGGAAAGAACACTGACCTTGAACTCGTGTTTTTGTGGGTCATTGTCTCCATTTTGTTCTGCCCCTTAACACTGTGACTTTGGACAAGTTCCATGACTCTCTTAAAGTCAGAATCAACAATCCTTACCTTCATTCTGTTGCGCAGATGAAATGAAGCTATGTCTTAGGACCTTGGTGAGCAATTGTTTGCAAAGTTCAGCCCACATCCTACACAGCTGGGCACGCGCGCTCTCGAGCGTCCCCCCCCACACACACACACCAAAGTTATTTGTTCTTTTCTTCAAATGTATGTGCTAAGTGGTCTGTGCCAGGTACTGTTCATGGGAAATAAAGCTGTACATGCAGCACACACAAAAACCTGATTTCCCAGAGCATTACAGCGCAGTGAGAGATGAGTCAGTCTAAATCTAGGGGTGGGGAGGAATAAATAATACTGGGAAATGTTATAGAGGTTTTTAAAAATGGACAGTATGAAGGGGAACGCATTTTCTCCTTTCTTTTGTCCACCAGTTAGGCTCAGCGGAGAAACAAGCATAAACCAAGGCTGCTCGAGAAACCTGCCTCCTCTCTGTCCCTGTTTCTAGCCATGACCAAGCCTTCTAATGCCAATCTGTGTGTGTAGCCCATCCCGGATGTGAGAGCTTCTTTGTTTGGTTCTAGGAGAGCAGCACCCTCCGCTGAATTCTCAGTGGACAGGACACGCCACTTAATGTCCTTCCTGACCATGATGGGCCCCAGTCCCGACTGGAACGTGGGCCTGTCTGCGGAGGATCTGTGCACCAAGGAGTGTGGCTGGGTCCAGAAAGTGGTGCAGGACCTGATCCCCTGGGACGCTGGCACTGACAGCGGGGTGACCTATGAGGTAGGTGTGTGGCCACGGTGGAAGGCGGACTCCCTTAGCAAGCCCGCCTGCTCTGCCCTATTTTAGGTGTCCCGGGCACAGAAGCCAGTGACTCGGCTTATCCTAGAAGGCCCTCGTCTAGTGGGGTGGCCAGCATGGTTCTGTGTACCAATCGCATTGAAGTCTGGGGGCCGTCACAAGGCCAGCGAGGTGGTTAAGCAGCTAAGAGTACTTGTTACAGAGGATAAGTTCAGTTCCCAGCCCCAGCAAGGCAGTTGACAAACATCCTTAACTCCAGTTCCAGAGGGTCTGACGCCAGCTTCTACCATTAGTGGGTACATTAGGCATGCAAGTGGGTACATACGTGCATGTAGGAGAAAAACGAAACAACAAAAACCTTAAACATATAAAATAAATAAATCTATTTAAAATTAATTCTTCTTTTGAAGATGTTTTTAATTTCTGGAGCCATCAGAAAACCAGTAGGAGAGGGATAAGGAGAGAGAGCTAAGTCAGTGAAGTTCTTGCTGGGCAAACAGGGGGAACTGAGTCAAGTTCTGAGTCAATTCCCCAGAACTTAGGTAAAAAGTCAGATATGCTTGCAGTCCCAGTGCTGGGGAGGAGAATACAGTGGGTCCCTGGAGCTTGCTGGCTAGCCAGACTAGCCTACTCTGTAAGTCCCAGACCACTGAGACACCCTCAAAAAGCGAGGTGAAGAGTGTCAGGAATGACAGCCAAAGCGGACCTCTGGCCTTCACACACATGCATACATGCCCCTGTGTACTTACATTCACACACAAGAAAAAGGAAATGAGTGGAAGAGCAACCACTCAGCACACTGTGAGTTTTCAAGGCAGATCTACCTGATGCCCCGATTGGTAAATACTAGCTATGTTGTTGTTCGGTTTGGAGGTTAACATGGAACCCAGGGCCTCCTTGTCCAGGCTAGATGAGTGCTCTACATTCTCAGCCCTTGTTTTGGTTCAGTTTTATATTTTAGACATGTTCTCACGCGATAGCCCAGGCTAGTACCAGGCTCACCATTCCCCACAGGTGTGTATTACTGTGGCTGGCTTGTAAGTAGCTTTCCAGGCCTGCCACACTCACCCAGTCTGGCCACAGTCCAGAGCTCCCTTCCCACAGCAATGGCTGAGCTGAGCAGTCGGCAGCCACAGTGTGACTCACATCTGACCCGACTCGAGAACAGTTTGCTGCCTGGTCCAGCAGAAAAAAAGCCTTGGATCCAGGTCAAGCTGGCTCAGCCATTTCTAAGCTTGGATGACCTCTTTGGAACTTGGCTCCTCCAGCTGGACACAAACTTTTGGTGTGTGTGGAAGACTCTAAGCACAAGTTTATGGATTTCCAAGCACAGGATCTTTGCAAGGAGAATTCTGAAAGTACAGCTACATTTCTGAAATTCCAGCCAGAGCAAGGTTCGATGTTTGATCCCCAGAATCACACACACACACACACAAACACAAACACACTCACACACACACTCAAAGGTCCTGTCAGAGTTTTTGTTCTGATCTACAATAACAAATGGCTTGAGGCCTTCTCAATCTGTATATTTTCTTCCTGCAGTCACCAAACAAGCCCACCATTCCTCAGGAAAAAATCCGACCCCTGACTAGTCTGGACCATCCTCAGAGTCCTTTCTATGACCCAGAAGGTGGGTCCATCACACAAGTGGCCAGAGTCGTCATCGAGAGAATCGCCCGGAAGGTACCATGAGAAGGGCTGATGCCTTTCTAAAACCACTGGGGTCTCTGGCAGGAAGCACCTCTGGATATGGACTTCTGGGCCTCCTGAGGTTTCAAATATGAAGATTATCTTTTTATATTTAAATTACTAAAAGCAACCCAGAGTGAAGCTTGGTACAAGTGGATCTAAGCCTTGGTACAAACTGATCTAAGCTGATCGGTTTATCATGAGTTCCACAGTCAATTGCTAATGCCTACCATGGTCAGGATATCTGTTTAGTCAGTGCTTTTTTTTTTTTCCTTGCATCTCTTTTTATCTAAGCTATAAATGTTGGCCCAGAGCTCTGCCATCGCAACGGGTTTCTGCCAAGGAAACATTAGCTTTAGGTATTCCATCTTTCCCTTGCACGTTCTCTTTTCTCAAATGTGCAATTCTCCCTTTCTTTTGCAGGGAGAACAGTGCAACATTGTACCTGACAATGTGGATGATATCGTAGCGGACCTGGCTCCAGAAGAGAAGGATGAAGGTATGTCGATCTCCTTTGTTGCAGGTGCCAACATAAATTGACATGACCAGTAGCCTCTGACTTGGTGACCCCCACCTCTGAAATAACCAGGATGCTGATGGGGCAAGAGGGTTTGGTGTCTTAGCAGCATGTGCCTAGCATGTGCCAAGCCCTGGCTTCTATCCCCAGCACCTAGCCAAAGAAAAAAAAAAACTAGAATCCAAGGCCAACACTGAGCACCAAGCATCAGGCAATTGGTAAAGGAGTGACATTAGAATAAGTACTTAACATTAGTTCTCTATCATGGCCATGAAAATGGCATTTGGTAGGTTTCCAAGTATCCAGATCACTGTTTGCTTTTGATGCTTTTTCCTCCAAGCCAGGCAGAGACAAGTTCATCTACCCCTCACCAGGGACAGGAGTCCAGGCCCTACACAGTCACGAGAGAGAGGCAGAGCCTCAGATTGAACTTAAGTTTCCTCACAGAACCTAGACTTTCATGAGCCTATGACCCTGGCGAGAAGCTAAACTTCCTACCTGTCTTCCCTCAACTATGAAATGGGCATAATAACAGATGCTGCCTCTGAGAAAATGAGGATCAATGGACGCAATTATGTCAGGTTCTTAAGGGTGCCAGCACAGGGCAAGTGCTCACTGATCCGCTACCTGAGGGTGGAGCCAATGGGAAAGTGAAGTCACAAAAGTGCTGCAAGCTTTCTGAAGCTGCCTATGAGGTGCCTACATGCTCGTACACAAAGCTGCCGAGGGCAGGGTGGCGATGAGAAGATGCATATGTGCAAAAGGACCCTGTAAAGGAAGAGAATGGTCGCTATTCATTAGATATTTACCAGCAGGGTGTCGGAGCGCCATTTTCAAGTAAAGAGAGTGTCTGCTTCCATCCCTGGAACATATAGATGAGCCTTTATCCAGAGAGCCAATCACAGCTTCCACAGGCTCCCAGGGAGAACAAGTCAAACTTGTCTCTGTCATCTCTTTACAGATGACACCCCCGAGACCTGCATCTACTCCAACTGGTCCCCGTGGTCGGCCTGCAGCTCCTCCACTTGTGAAAAGGGCAAGAGGATGCGGCAACGCATGCTGAAGGCACAGCTGGACCTCAGTGTCCCCTGCCCTGATACCCAGGACTTCCAGCCCTGCATGGGCCCTGGTTGTAGCGATGAAGGTAAGGAGACAGTCTGGGCCAGCTGGAGAAGATTGGCAAGGGAGGCCTTCCTGGCAGCATGGGCCCCTTACACACAGGCAGGCGGTGTTCCTGGAGTGGCACCATTGTCAGTGAAGTCCAACCAGAATGGGTGACCCACTATATATCTGGAGGCCTCTGAACACACAACCCATCATTTTACAACAAGAGTTCCTGAGGCTGACTGGTTCTTCCTCCATGCCACTTTTTTGTCACCTAGACCAAAGCACCTGTCAGAACATTAGGGGGAAAGGATTTATTTGGCATCAGAGGATTTAGCTGGTGGTTGCTTAACCCCATGTACTATGGTAGAACATCATGGTGGTGGGAGAGCGATCTACTTTCCTAGGCCCCACTGCCAAAAGTCTACACACACAAACAGAGAGAGAGAGAGAGAGAGAGAGAGAAAGGCCATCATTCTCACTGATGTGTGTGATCCAGAGGGTGTGCTTGGGAAGAATGAACATAAAAAGACAGGAAGTGCATTTGGTTTTTAACCTAACTCAGGTGATGGCTGTGTCTTTTACACATTAGCTATGGTCCAACCTCGCAGTCTTATTCATTCAGCTAGTCTGACAAGAATCAGTGGGCCTTCCTGTAAAAAAATAAAATAAAATAGTTTAACGGGGTCCTAGGATTAAAATATTTGTATAAAACTCTTACAAGGTGGAAGACATAAAGAGTTTAATTCTTTGTTCTAAACACAAATTTTTATAATATTTGATAGAAAAGACTCATATTTGGTATTTCTTACAATACCACCACCAGCTGGGATCAAAGAGGCAGTACATGAGCTGCTGGGAACATTTCATATTCAACCACAATGCATGTGCATGCACACACACAGCAGCCATGGGATATGATACACACAGGACTGCAGAGGCAGCAGATGTTTGACAAATTACAAACAGTAAGTAGCTTGCTTCTGACTCTGAGCTCAGCTGCATCTCCTTCCCTTTTCTTTCGGGGTTTGGGAGTTTGAGGAAATGCCTCAGCACATAGGCCAGGCTTGCCTAGAGCTCACTCTATAGCTCAACACTGGTCCAGAACTCATGATCCCCCTGCCTCAGTCTCCTGAGTGCTGAGATTCCAGGCATGTGGCATCTAGCTGGGCTTCTCACTGCCTTTTAAATAATTGCCATTCCTGGTCCCTCTTCTCAACTCCACCTGGGCCTAACGCACAGTTGCTTGCGTCATGCCAGAACCTTCAGGCTCCTTGCTTGCTTTCACTATCTGGAACTGCTCAAAGGTCAGGCTGCAAGTTTGCAAAACCCATGTCACCACACATAGCCTTCAAGATTCCGGGCAGCTGATTGCCGTGCAAAGGGCGAAAGAGCCTGCTCCTGCACGGCTCCTCTCTGCCCGTCCGGGTCTAGACTGTTTTCTGTTCTTATTCCAAGGTAAAGGGAGGCTGGGGCAGAGCTACACAGGCTGGAATGGTGCCTGGCCTGAAGAAAAGCAATCCCAACCCCAGGCTAGCTAAAAACAGCGCTCTATCCTGTCCGCCACTTCCCAGCTTTCCCTGGCAGCAGGCTGGCTGCCTCTTAGGCCTCCCTACCACATGGGTCCTTGGTAGCCATCTGAGCCTCAAACAGCACTTGTATAGGATAACAAGCCCTGCCATACACAAGCTCACAAGGAGACAGGGAGAAACTCGCTGTCAACACTGAGGCTCCTTTTGGGGGACTAGAGCCAGGGAGCTAATGACAGTAGTGGAGCTGAAGTCTCTTTCGCGCCCCCCCCTCCTCAAAAAAGAGGCCATGATTACGTCAGGCAGGTGCCCCAGGAGGAATGGCAATTCTAAACTGCTGGGCCTGTTGCTTGAACCTGCGGCCCACGCTCCGCAAACGCCTCTCCTCCCAGCGTGCTCTTGTACAGACCCCGGGTTCTCTTGTGGCCCTCCTGAGCATGCTCAGTGTGTTGCAGACGGCTCCACCTGTACCATGTCGGAGTGGATCACCTGGTCGCCATGCAGCATCTCGTGTGGCATGGGCATGAGGTCCCGGGAGAGGTACGTGAAGCAGTTCCCGGAGGACGGCTCGGTGTGCACGCTGCCCACCGAGGAGACTGAGAAGTGCACGGTCAACGAGGAGTGCTGTGAGTTGGGGGGTGCCCGGGGGGGGGGGGGGGGGGGCCGGAGGATCCCAGCACTGACCGCGCACTACTCCAACTGTCCGGCCCTCCCAGCTCCCAGCAGCTGCCTGGTGACCGAGTGGGGGGAGTGGGATGACTGCAGCGCCACCTGTGGGATGGGCATGAAGAAGCGGCACCGCATGGTCAAGATGAGCCCCGCGGACGGTTCCATGTGCAAGGCAGAGACATCCCAGGCGGAGAAATGCATGATGCCCGAGTGCCGTGAGTGGGTTTGGGGAGGGCTTTGGGCAGGGAGCCTCACACCTGTGGCTACTGGATAGCAGGCACCTGCAGCTGCCTTCCACTTAAGCCGCTGCCTTGCAGCAGTAGAAAGGGACAGTAAGTTTAGACACGACCTCATTGGCCACGTCTAATCCATTCCTGTTTGTGGGCGGGGTTGTTGTGATGCCTGACTGGCCTGGAACTCACTGAGGAGACCAGGCTGGCCTTGAACTCAGAGATCCTCCTGCCTCTGCCGCGCAAGCACTGAGACTGAAAGTGTGCACCACTGTGCCCAGCACATTCCCGCTAGGTGAAATAAGGCACAGCTCTGCCGCTCTGCACAAATGCACATCACACAAGCATACACGCATTCCAGGGATATCAGTTCAGGTGAGCAAACTGGCAGCACTGAGCCAGTCCCTGTCTGGGGTTAGCGCTGGGGAGAAGTGTTCTTCAGTGAGGCCCTATTCAATCTAAAATGACTGTAATTATGTTTAGTGACTGTTAAGTCAGCGATGCCTCTGTTGAGAACCTGAGATCTACTGCACTGACCTCACCTGGTATCAGGTCGTGACCACCAGCTGGGCCACAGGAGACGCAGAAAAGAAACAAGTCCAATAGGCTGAGCAGGCTGTTCACTCTCAACCCAGGGTCCAATTCGATTCTGGTCTAATGGCGGGTGCAGGTGGGGGTGTTGTAGGGCCGGGATCAGAGAAAACAAAAGGTGCCTGTGCTCAGTGCCAGACTTGGCTCTTGACCTAGACACCATCCCATGCTTGCTGTCTCCCTGGTCCGAGTGGAGCGACTGCAGCGTGACCTGCGGGAAGGGCATGCGGACCCGCCAGCGGATGCTCAAGTCTCTGGCGGAGCTGGGCGACTGTAACGAGGAGCTGGAGCAAGTGGAGAAGTGCATGCTGCCCGAGTGCCGTAAGTCCCGGGTTCCGGAAGCCTACCCCTTCCTGCCTCCAAAGTTCCTTCGTCCAGAGAGGGCCCCCCCCAACTAGCTTTGTGCCCGATAAGGAGATGGCTCAGTGGAAAAATCACCTTGTGCACAAGTGTGGGGGCCAGGGTTTGGATCCCTGGAAGCCACATAAGAGCCCAGCAGGCATGACAAACCCAGGGCAAGCTGGCTAGACAAGCCGGAATAGTATTTCCCTAGGTTCAGCGAGAGGCCCTTTCTTAGTAAATACAGTGGAGAACAATGGAGGAAAACACCAGATATCGTCTTGGGCTTAGACGTGCCTGTGCACGCAACATCATACACGAAAAGAATATATACTGTCAGATCCTATAGTGAGATTAATTGGTCTGAGATGAAGGGTAGATGGAGCTTGGATCTGTGTTGGCAGAAACTTCAGTCTCACTGTTGTCTGCAAAACACACGTGACCGTGAAACCTAAATGGGAGACTGACATTAAATATGAAGCACAAGTCAATCATCCCCAGTCCTTTCCCTCCCCTACTCTACTATGGGCTTGTCTGACCCATAAACGTTCGGAACCTTTCACTTCTACATGTGTGATCATTTAATTTACCCTTGAGTGGAGGTTGGCCAGTGGAAAAGCCAGGTTCTCAGCATGCTGACCACATCTCCTTCTGAAATCTGTGTAGTCAACTGCCAGTATCGCTTAACTTTGTCCCCCAGTTTCCAGGTCCATACAGCAGCAAAACAATTTTACGCTACTCTGAGGATTAAACCCAGCTCCTGGCATCAAGTGTAAGCAGGTGCAGGCTTCAGCCAATGCACTCAGTAGCCTGAGGCTTTTGCTAACCCTAGTTAGCTCAGTTACCTGGATGACTGGACTCCAGAAGCCACCGGCAACGGTGACAAGCGACCACTTCAAATAAGTCTTTATATCCACAGGGTCCATTAAAGGGGATCAGGGAATGAACATCTGCAGGATGCTGCTGGGAGCAAACAGCTCATTTAATCCTCATAGCTAACTAAACTACAATTATCCCCCATTTGGCCCACAAGCTCCCTCAGGGAAAGAGGCTCAAAGCTCTTAAGAGTGAGCTCTGGTCCAGGCTTTCCAGAAACAGTGAAGAGTGTGGAATCATTTACCTCCTTGGACCACACCCTGAAAAATCAGACCAAAACGCTGTCTCCCCTCGCATGGCAAGGTGCTGGCTTAGCAAGAATTTGCTACCTCTTTCACTATGAGAAACCATGAAGCACCACCCCCTGCTCTTGATCCTTGGTGGAATTTCCTGCCCTGGGCTTCTGGGTGGTTTACACAGACCACCATATGTAGGACGGAGATGGGGTGCAGGGCGAGAAAAGCTGCCTGGGCTAGAGGAAGCCCTAAGTAGAGGCCTATGTAGGCGAGCCACCTGCTATCTTGTTCTCTCCAAAGGCTATCAAGTAAGTGGCCATTCTTCTCTGAAGACCACGCTATGGCTTCCTTGAGGAAATCTAGGTTCCTTGAGATGGTGGTCAGTGCCCCTAGAAGCTGATATGACTATTCCAGGAAGACACCTGGCAGGACATGAAGCTAGAAAAACACCTTCAAAGTCCCCCAAGACCTTGTTAGGTCAGAGAGGAGAATGAGAAGCCTAAGGGTCAGGACCTGCCGTCAATCTTGCCCCTACTGCTTACTATGTGCTCTAGACAATGCCACTGCTGCTTAAGACCAGTTTCTACTGGAAAACGCCTTATTGTTCTTGGCAGCCTACCTGGGCTGCTCAATGGGGTACACGCACCTATTTTGGTTCAGGCATAGACATACTCACACTTGTCTGTATCTCACCAGCCATTGACTGTGAACTCAGCGAGTGGTCCCAGTGGTCTGAGTGTAACAAGTCATGTGGCAAAGGCCACATGATTCGGACCCGGACAATCCAAATGGAACCTCAGTTTGGAGGAGCACCCTGCCCAGAAACCGTGCAACGCAAGAAGTGCCGCGCCCGGAAATGCCTTCGAAGCCCATCAGTCCAGAAGCTGCGCTGGAGGGAGGCCAGAGAGAGCCGGCGTAGTGAGCAGCAGAGGGAAGAACTGGACGGCGAGCAGTTCCCAGGTACAGTTCCCTGAGTGCCTGCGCTGGGCTCAAAGAGGAGAGAGAGGCACCTCTTGGATTATTCAGACTGAATTTTGATTCCCAGATACTAAAAAAAAAGGCCTAATTTATACAGAAGAGATTAGATTAATATTTGTCGCAAAAAAAAATATTAGATATAGCCGGCTATCAAAATAGATTTTTAAACGAAGAGCCTCTAGAAATTGTACTGTACTTTCTTCACATTTGTAAAGCACCTTAGTCACAGTCAGCTATAACTAACCACCCCCATTTGCTCTTGCAAAAAGGGGAAGAAAAAAAAAAGCTATAGCACAGATGTGTGAGAGGAGCCTGTATTTAGAGGAATCTATGACTCCTCGGATCAAATCACCCCTTTACGGGTAGGGCTGAGATGAGACTGCCCTGGCCTGCGGCTTCTCACTATCATGTTAACCACAACAATTAGCATTTGGATCTTCATTTCTGCAAATTAATATAGACCCAGGCTGCCACATAAGCAGAACGCACCCCAGCAGAATAATGAACCAAGTGCAGAAGAAGCCAGAGAATGGGCACAGTGCAAACTGCAGTTCCAAGCAGATGCCAGAGCAGAAAAAGCTCGACTGAGTCTTAAGATGCTTTTAGGAGCTTGCCAGTTAAAAGCGTGCATTGAGCCAGCAGAACTCAGAACTGCCAAGGCAGAGACACCAAGGGACACACTAAGTATCAGGTGGGATGCAAACACAGAAGGAAACTGGACTAGAGAACTGGGTGTAAAAAGCAAGTGACCAGCTGAGCACGGTAGCACATGCCTGTAATCCCAGCACTCAGAGAGGCAGAGGAAGGTGGATCTCTGTAAGCTTGAGGCCAGCCTGGTCTACAAAGCAAGGCCAGGATAGCCAAGGCTACACAGAGAAACCCTGTCTGGAAAAACAAACAAAGAAAAATGTGAGTGATCAATTGTAGAGGAGCAGGGGTCTGATTCATTCTGTGGTGAAAAGTTTCAAGAGTGGCTTTAACAGACCTGTGTTAGGTGACTCAGAGGAGTCAAAGTCCAGATGCCGATTTTGTTTATAGCCAGAAGATTATGTGCCCTTTCTCCAGCACAACTTGAAAAGCTACTAAGATGTCTCAGCAAGTAAAGGTGTGTCCTGCCAAGCCTACTAGCCTTTTAAAAGTTCAAGTTCTAGGACCCACACAGTGGAAGTAGAGAACCAACACCAAAAAACGGTTCTTTCACCTACACACACCTACTAAGCTGGACATTCATGAAGCTGTGCATAAGTAAATTAAAAAAAACACAAACCTATTCTTTAAAACCATCACTCTAGGGCTGGAGAGATGGCTCAGCAGCTAAGAGCAGTGGTTGCTCTTCCAGAGGACCCTGGTTCAATTCACACCTGTCTGTAACTCCAGTTCCAGGGGCTCCAAAAACACCAATTCACATAAAATAAATGAATCATAAAAAAAAATAATAAAAATAATTTTAAAAATAAACAAACAAAAAAATGAAATAAAATCAGCCCTGGGCTGGAAAGATGGCTGCTCTCCCAAAGGACCCAGATATCCCACACGTTGGCTCACAACCTTCTCTTAACTCCAGAGAAATAACCCAAAAGAGCCAAATGATTGACAGGCCAACAGAATGATGCGTTAAGATGAACCAATGATTAAGTCAAGGGCACAGACCATTAAGTGTTCTTTGAACTCCCTGGGGGCAAAAAAGACAGCCACATAAAAGTGAAAGTGGACTGACTCCTCCTTAAGACAGTCCATCTCCTCATGGTGAATGCCTTTAATCCCAGCATCTGGGAGGCAGAAGCCAGCAAGGTCTACAAGGCTAGTTTGCGGGGTCGGGGGAGAAGACAGCCCACTCTTCAGTGTAGAGATGGACTAAGTTGGCAGGTACTTTCTTTAGGGAATGTTCATATACCAAAATGTCTATGGCAGGCAGTCAGTCATCAGTCCATACTGGTTAAAGGCGGCTTTGTGCTAAGTCGTTTCTCTGGAAGATTCTGCTGTGGTTTGGTAAACATGTGGTATGGTACCTAATACATAGTCGTGAGCACCCTGTGTTCAAAAGAGAGGTAAATGGGAGTGTTAGGATGAGTACAAACAAGAGACTTCTTCTCTGGGGATCAGATGAGGTTCTTTGGAGGAAGGCATGCTCATGTCTCATAGGAAGAAGAAAAAAAATGTTCATTTACTTAGTAATGGCGGAGGCTCATGAAGGAGCTCAGTGCTCTAAACAAAGCTTTATTAACAAGCTCACAGGCAGGCTGGCTTGGATTCACTCTTCTGAGGTTTAGCTGTGTTGGACTCATCCTCATTTGTACAGCCACAATCAAGTAGGGCTGGAACAGCAACCCCAGCCTCACCGGCTTTCTGAGGGCGTCTTTCCACCGTCTCTCCAGTGAGGTCACCCAGACTTGCTCACACCTAGTACTTTTTCTCAGGCATGGTATTTGCTCATACCCATTAGTCAAAACAAGGTAAGCCTAGTTCAAGAGGTGGGGAAACAGTCTGCCCTTTGACAGGAAGAGATCCAGGGCATTAATGGCCACAGCTTTCCCAACCTATCATATATAAGCTAACAGGCCCTAACAAGAATAGTAGGCTCTAGTTAATTCAACCACTCATTACTCAGAAGCAGCAAAGAGCAAGACAACTCATTGGACAGTCCAGTTGGGAGTCACAGCTCGTATTCTGCTGTCCTAACCACACATTCTCATACTTTCAGGCTGTCGGATGCGCCCGTGGTCAGCCTGGTCAGAATGCACCAAACTGTGTGGAGGTGGAATTCAGGAACGCTACATGACTGTGAAGAAGAGGTTCAAAAGCTCCCAGTTTACCAGCTGCAAAGACAAGAAGGAGATCAGAGCGTGCAACGTACACCCTTGCTAGCTAGCCGGGGCACGACTCCCCAGGGCCACATCCCAGATTCCGGTCGGCCAATGGCTGGGTGGTTTGTTTGCTTGTTTAAGATGATTTAAATTGTGTCCACTAGTTTTCATTTTTACGGTGTGGTTTGCCCAATAGTCCTACGGATGCCAAAGGACATCCTGTGTCAATACTTCTTGGTGGGTGCAGGCCAAGTGGGGCCCGCTTGTCCTCAGGCGGCCTTCTTCCTACACTGAAGTGAGTAGTGTTGGTTTACCTTGTACTAAACTGAAATGCGACCCTCTGGAGCATGATCCTTGTCAAGCAGGGTGGAGACCCCGGCCACATCCACAGCAAGAAGCAGCCAGGATGCAGCATGCGGGAGACACAGCCATCAGACGCAGAGGACAAATTCCCCTTTCTCACCTTTGGCCTGCTCATCCTTGCAGAAACCCGTTTGTCCTTCCTTCTCTTTTCATTTAGCACAACTCCAGGGATCTTGGTAAGTCTTCTGGGCCAGGAGTTCTTCAGTGCCCTTGAGGAAAACACCTAAGGTGGCTTTTATTCTACAAACCTCCCAATACTGGTTTGTGCTACCACAAAGGCAGCAAGTGGTGATTGCTACTTTATCTAATTGTGATAAAGAAAATTAAGCATAAAATATATTTCCCTTGGGTTTTGATTGTTGGTGCCACAACTGTCCTAGGATGCTGGATACATGACCCTTTTGTCAAGAGATCTTTCTTTGAACCAATGCAGACAGTAAACCGGGTACTAGTTCCAAACCCGACTTAAAATCTTCCTACACATAGCCAGAGCTTTTAGGTTTCCCAAACTCTCTTAGAATAAAGCATTTTAGCTCTAAGAACTACCTGCTAAGTCTGCCAGGAAGCCCTCAAGTCAATTTCTCAACAAAAATACTATTTCCCAACTTTTTTTTTTTTTAAGTAATAGTGTTGTATAGTTAGAGCACAGAGACAACCTATTCCCATGACTAAGACACAAACCTAGAAAGGTTATTCAATCATGCCTGTGCCTGATTTCTAGACCAGGGCCCTGGTTCTCACAGACAGTCCAAAGGAAGGCCAGGGGTTTCCACTGACTTCCAAGCCATCAGCAGTTCGATAAATCTAACAATCAGAGTAAAAGGACGTTTATCTAAGTTGTGAGCTCTCTGACAGGTTTTGCTCATGCATCTGTCCAAACTCACCACATTCTTTTGTAAGTCTGTGTTTATTACTGCTTCATCCAAAATACACACTGTGGGCAAGGTGCACACAGAGTTTGAATATACTACTTTAAGAATCTGCATTAAACACATGAAGATATTTCCAGCCACATCTATGTACAACCCCCAAATATGTATTTTCCTTAACACGAGAGCCTGTTCAATAAAAAAAAAAAGAAAAAAAAAAAAAAAGAAATAAACCTCACTGGGTCTGTCTTTGCTTTTAGGCCAATTAAGTGGTGGGAATATTGGGTCTTTTTCCAGTTGTTACCCAGTTCATTTGCAGGAAAAGATGGAGTTTCTGTTCCCTCTAGATGGGCCGATGGAATCACACCCCTCAGCTGTCTGAGGCCTGGATTATTTCCAACGTTATTTTTAGATATTTTAATGAATTGCTTTCTCCTTCAAAGGCATATAATAAAGACAAAGAATTAAGAGGCTTAAATTTCCTCTTGGGACACCCAAGCCCTCCCTGAAGAAACTGCCCTGCCTACTCTGCAACATCTTCCAAGTTTTCTTAATGTAAACTTATTCCCAACCCATGAAAACTAAAATTCCTTCAGATGGGGACAGGCTTTGGAAGACATTTGGAAAACCAGGAAGACTGGCGGAAGGCCAGTAAGTGAATGAGAAACATGCTTTTGTCAGAAGTTTTACTGCTGTGTCTACAATGGGGAACTTGTGAATGTCACATCTTTCTTACCAAAGTCTTAGGTTAGGTGGTTGTCCTGTTTTTTGGCTAACCAAGCATTTTGTAAATAAAGATTTTCTTACTTCAAATGCCATCTGTCTGGACTTCCGCTTGGGCTAGTAAAAGAGACACAACGTGCCACATAAAGACAACTACAGCCGCTCATGGCGGTGTGTACCCTTAATCCCGGCACTCAGCCAATCCAGTTGTGATCTGGTCAAACTCACACTGTAAGAAGTTCAGAGCTCTGTTTCCCAATCAGACACTGTCAATTTCCTCTCCCCGTGCCAATACGTTTTGGCAGAGGGAAATCTGCTGTAGCGAGTGGAACTAAAACCTGGCCCCTTTAGACCCTGAAGTGAAACACTAAAAAAAGGCCCATGCTGAGGTAGCGTTTGCGCTCTCTCCTGCACGCACTTTCGTGCAGGCCTTCGGCACTCTGGAAACCCATCACAACCTATCCACAGGGGCTGCATGGCTGATGTGTCGCCACATAAACATCTTCTCTGTCAAATTACCTCTGTGCCCTGTTCTCGGTGAGCCTCCATGTTTCGGACAATAAAAAGTGAAAACATCGTCTTGGATCACATGTCGTGGAAGCGGCATTCCCAGCACTAGAGAAGCCTCTCCAAGCCAGCAAAGCCTACCTCAAAAAGAAATACACAAATAACTTAAAGTCAGAAAACCCAGAGAGCCACAGGGGCCTCAGCAGACCATTTTATGACAGTCTGACCTGGAGTTTTCAAAGCCTTGCTTTAGAAATTCTGTTATATGGAGTTAAACTATGAAGAGGTAAAATAGTTACCCCCTAAAGAAATGCATACTATTATCCAAACAAGACTAAAACTAAACTATAGATGTTTGATTCCTACTTAAAACTCAGACTCGGGGAAGACAGCAATTTCCACCACGTTGCTCCTTGGTACTGACGATTTCAGTATCTCCACTCTTCCTTTTCCTACTGCCCAAAGTAGACAGAATGAAAATAAATCCCTTTTGAAAATGATTGAAATGCAGGAACAAGTTATAATTAGCAGCTTCATGTTAATTAGCATGGGGCTAATTCTCCAATTTAAATCCTGTGAAACTAGAAGCAAAATATCTATATTAAAATGTCACATTCAAATGATGGCGCCTGCTTCCGAACTCCCATGGGCTCAGAGGCGGTGTATACATCCTAGGATGGAAGGGCAAAGACTGTATGGTGAAGCCCAGGTTATCTGGGTTGGTGCCATTGCCACACCTCTGAGCAGCAGTGACAGCTGACCCCAGTCATTTCTGCTGTCCTGCTCTCAGGACTGCCCTACCCTTCCTCACGCTAACCAAGTCTTCCTTCTCACCCAGAGAACAGGTCTCCTGGTAGCCCCTCACTGCTTTGAAACCACAAAGTGCTCACCTTTGAGAGAGTTGCATTTTGGTCCTCTATAACTGAAAATGTCACAACAAATAAAATTTGCATGCATAATTTTTAACAGTTATCATCAGCGTGCAATGGAATTTCAGGCTGTTTTCACTTAGCATTCACGGTGTCTTCACATAAGATGGCGTTCATTAACATCTCACGGTACTCAAAACAGCCCTCTCCCAAGCATACTAATTAGCATGCTCGTATTTTAAGCCGTGATATGCTTAGACAACCTTCCGTTACCGCAAGTAATTTTTCAGTATTAAGAGTAGGGCTGGTGAGCCAGGGCTCTCACTGCCAAGCCTGATGATCTGACTAGAATCCCCAGGTCCTCTGACCTACACATCCTGCTGAGGGATCCTAACCCGGAATAACCAGCCGAAGGGTCACCTGGAGACAACTGTATCTCCTGCTGTTGTCTGCCCGCCCAGAACACTGGTGCTGCCTGAAGCAGGACCTGCAGAAAAGAGACAAAGAACTAGAAAGCGTGTGCTGAGAAACCCTTGTGGTAACCTAACATTGCCGTGATAGCCAAGAGGATGGTTATTTTCCTAGTTAATTTTCTGCCCATTTACAAGCAGTGGGGGGAGGGGGAGTATATCAGTCCACAACATCAGGATTAAGAGGTTTTTTAAGGGGCTTAAGTGGCCTGGGAAGCACTGAACTACCATTCTCAGCCACAGAGGTCACTCCCCTTCCCTCTCTCCCTACCTCTCAGGCTTTGTAAAAACTGTGGCCTTGAACTTATGATCTCATGATTCTCCTGCCCCAGCCTGCTGAGTGCTTGAATTACAGGACTGCTCCACCCCATACAACCAAACTAGAGACTTTAACTCTCAGATACCATGTATCCGGACTTTGACGACGAATTCCGGCCTCGTGTTACTACCCACCTCACTGACTACTTTGCACTGGCTGGCTCTCACCACTCTTCCAGCGTACTCACTAAGCAAAGTGTCTGCCCATGACCCAGCTTTGCCAAAGACCTTCCCCAGACAGCCCACACTCACCGCCTTCATTTCCTTGCCTGCCAATCACACTGCGGCCCCCTCCTACAGGTTTCCACACCTGACAGCTCGAAAAAAACCTACGAACATCTGACTACTGCTCTCACTAGCCACCCAAAGCTTCTTACCACCCCAAGGCCTGGGCTTCCTTAAAACACAAGGCTCTTGGAACCAGGAAGGTGGCTCTGCAGGGAGAATAGCTTTTCAAGCCTGAAGAACGGAGCCTGCTTCCCAGAGTTCAATCGCCAGAACCCATATAAAAAGCCAGATGCAGTGATGCACATCTGGAATCCCAGCACTCCTCCAATGGGACGGGAGCTGGACGCAGGAGAATGGCCCAGAAGCTTAGGGGACAGCTAGCCTTCAACACAGTGCAGAGACAGAAAGGAGACCCTGCCTCAACAAGGTGGAAGGTGAGAACCCACTCCTGAAGAGCTGTCTTGTGACGTGTGTGTGTGTGTGTGTGTGTGTGTGTGTGTGTGTGTGTGTCTCTGTGTCTGTGTGTGTGTGTGTGTGTGTGGTATGCATATGGGCTGGCTTCCACCCACCCACAACTTAGGCTCTCTCTTTTCTGGCTGCTTCTCTTAGCTGTTTGCTGGCTCTTTATTTTCTACTCCCAATTGTTCACTTCCCCCTCAAATTTTACCCTTCACTCAACAGTAAATATTAGCCACTTGGCCTATCTCTGCCATCACTAATTTAAAAGGCATGAAATCACAAGCTTTCAGCTTTTTCAGCTTTTCAGCTCCAACCCTAACCCCCAGCTTCTCTGACTACCTCGGATGAGTGCCCTGTGCTCCTCATTTAATTAGGGCACCATCGCTGTCCTGTCCACGCAAGCTCAGCCTTCGGAGTCTCACTCCTTCTGCAGAGACACCTCTAATGTCGGATGCCCCTTCACCCACGTTACCTCAACACATGCCTGGACACATTCATTCATCAGGTGACCTTTCCTTGCACAGGTGACACAATAAAGAGTGCACGGTCCTACCCCACAGTGCTTGTGTCCCTAGGACAGGGCGAACACCCGTCACCTCCCTCTGCCACTCACGTGACCACTGGGTTCCATCCCAGCACCTCCTCTTCAGAAGCCCCGGCAGTGTCTCACCTCATGACCCAACCTCGGCTAACCGCCATCTGAGTCCTGATCCAGCATACTGCAGCACTGTCTCCCCAGTAGTCCCAGCACCTCACTCTTTCCCTCCTCTTCCCCATCTCAAGCCCACCAGTCTTCCCAGCCCCAGCAAAGCCACTGTCCACTCAGATTTTCCCTTTACTGGACCTAACAGTATTTTTCCTTAAGAGACAGGGCCCCAGTATTTTCGTCACTCAGTCTTCCTCCTTGAGGACAATAACTAACCTGAAGAAAGGACCCTGTCCACACCCACTCCTCCTCACCACTGCTGGTGTCCTACTCAAAGAAATCTGCTCAGCCACATATTTTTAAGGAAGATAACTTTTTTTTTTTGGGGGGGGGGGGGGTTTAAACAGTACTTGGAAAACAATCTATTTGGCCATAATCTCCTTCTACACACTTACCTGTTATGTGTCGGGGGGGGGGGGGATGAATCCAGGCAAATGAACTGTTTAAAAGTCACAGGAGAAGCAGGCTACTTCTTCCATTACCTGCTAGCCTGAGATGACATTTTTACATAAGCAATGACTAATGTGATCAACTTACACTATAAAGCTCTGAAGCTTCAAATGTACCTAGTGGTCAAATTTGACAGTGTAATGTCCGTCTCTGAAATATACACCTATCTGAACAAGCAACCCTCGAACGAACTCCCCCCATCATCCGCTGTCATGGGCAAAGGTCTCTACATATATAAAGGGATGGGAAATAAATGCAGAGTAAGATTAGTATTCCGTATGACGAGGGCGTGAAGCAGCCACTGCAGTCACACAGGTGAGAAATCATGTCCACTCATCTACTTGCATGCTATTTGTGGCTGCTTCTGTGGAAGATCTGCATAGCCCACGTAGCTGGGGCAGAGACCACGAGGCCTGCAGGGCCTAAGAATGTAATTAGTATATTGCCCTGAATAAAGAAAGTTTGCCAAGTCCCAGGTAGAGGGACAAAAATGGCCAAGAGACACACAGACCATTCATATCATGAGAGAGGCACCTCTTCATAATGAGACAGGGCTTACTTTCCTGCCTGAGACAATCAGAAAGTGATCTATGGTCGCTGGGTGCCAAAACCCCTATGTCTGAGCTCTACATAATCCTACTCAGGAGGCTGAAGCAGGAGGATAACTTGAACCCAAGAGAACAAGGCCATCCTGGGCAAGATAGTCAGTCAGGCTCCATCTCACAAAAAAGAAAGGTGTGTGAGAGACCAAATATATAAAACAGTGGTTCCTGGACACCGAACATAGAGTGAGCCTTAAAGTTGCCCTGGCTTTCAGGCAAAAGAGGATGGCTTAGGAGATCCCAGGCAGAACACAGATGTTTCCTCGAACTGAAATGACAGACACTGGAGCTCAAGGAACCTTTGAAGCAACTTGAAGTAGCTATAGAATGTTCTGGGGTGTTATAAAAGGACTGCTTGGGGGGGGGGGGAGTAGGTAACAGGAGATTCTAAACTATGTACAGGGTCAAAGGTTTGGCCAAATATTAAATGTAGGTATGGGTCAACTGGACTTTGGTCAAGGAATGAACCATGAGCTGTAGAATGCTTATTCCACAAAGGGCTGGGGATCGTCTGCATTCCCACAGCTCAGGCTGCACAGTGCTTATCGAGCACTCACTGCATTTAGGAGTGAAACTAATCTATGCCTAGGAAAAAAGGCTACTTCGGATTGCATTACGTTTTAAGGAAGATCCAGAAGGTTCAAATTGAAGAGCATATACACAAACTGGTTACCAGAACAAAGCCAAAAACCTTCAGATGGAAAAGCTGTGGCCAGATACCCAACAACATAAACTATGCAATGTCCATCATCTAAGCAAAATTTAAATGTATGAAAAGTCAGGACCGTAACTAAATAAAAATCACACAACAGAAACAGATACAAACGGCAGTGATGTGGGATCAAAATGCTACCAGAACCACGTTCAACTACTCAAAGCACGCTTCCTCAAGCAGTGTTCCACAGCCCCGTGCAGCTCTCTGAGGGATAATTTCCAAACATGCCTTGCCATTCTAGATGCACACATGAGAAATTACGTTGTAACACAGACATCAGGGCTCAACTCTCTGGGAAAGAGTGAGGGGCTGGTTAAGAGGAATACATGAGCATAATGAGGAGTAAAACAGAGTGTACATTCATAAAGAAATAAAGAACTAAATTGCTGGGCATGCTCGGAGTGGCATACACCTGGCATACAGACTTTCTGCACATGGAAGGCAGAAACAAGAGGATTGCTACAAATTCAAGGCCAGGCTGGTCTACACAGTGAATTCTAGGCCAGCACAAGCTGTCTATAACTCAAGAGATGGAGAGGAGGGAAGAAAAGAGGATGGGAGGGGAGAGGAGGGGAGGGGAGGAGAAGGGAGAGAAGGGGAGAGGAAGGAAGGTCTTCGTCCCCTTCCATCTGACCCTAGCCTATCAGGTCTCATCAGGACTGGCTGCACTGTTTTCCTCTGTGGCCTGGTAAGGCTGCTCCCCCATCAGGGGAAGGTGACAGAAAGACCTAGAGGGGACAGGAGCTCCACAAGGAGACCAACGGAACCAACAAATCAGGGCTCGAGGTCTTTGCAAAGACCACTACTCCAACCAAGGACCATGCATAGAGATAACCTAGACCTCTGCTCAGATGTAGCCCATGGCAGTTCACCCTCCAAGTGGGTTCCCTAGTAAGGGGAGCAGGGGCTGTCTCTGACATGAACTCAGTGGCTGGCTCTCTGTCCTCACATCTTTAAAGACAACCAATTCAATCCAGTCAGGGATATCCAGTGAGTATTATGGGCTTTCTAACGGCTCATGATTAAAGCAATTTTAAAAAGAGCATCACAGAAAGAGTCTCCTGAGCTGTCTTTAGCTACTGAATAGGTCACTGAAGATCAGCCCATTAGTTACTCAGCACACACCCAGGCATTGCGTGCACTGGGGTTCCCTACTGTGAAATCTCCCCCTCCCCTCCAGTTCCTTTTTACCCCTGAGGCACTCGAGATGCCCGAAACAGGGGATGTAGGAACAAATCTGTCTTTAACTTACTGTCAGCCTCAGAGCCACCCTGGTTGTTACAGTTCTACCCTTTCAACCCAAATAGCCAGGGCCTGTCCTTCTTCCCTGGATCTCGCTTGACCTCATCACCTCTCCAGAGTCAAACAGACCCTTGTATAGGACACATCCCCAGGCTCAAGTCTGGCCACTGACAGAAATTCTTCCACTGAATTACAGCCATAAATACCTAGAGTCTAAAGACACCATCCATTACAAAATAGCACTGATGTAGAAATAGCTCCAAGAAGGCAAACACCACACTAAACCATGAACCTGCTTTGATCATTATCATCCTTATCTTGTAGTTGTGTAGCTCTTTTCTTTTCAGTAACATAACTGAATCTTCAGGGTAAACTTTTTCTCCTAAGGAACTTTTGTCTGAATTATTTCTGACCGGTAGTAACTATGTAACATCACAGCAATTTTTTTCTTAGGTAGCACTTCAGATATTTTTGATACCTTCCCTTCCATACTGTTAGGGATTACCAGTAACATAATTTTTGGGTCACATAAGCTATTCTTATTTGCAGTTCTTATTTGGCTATTGTATTCTGAATAGTGAGAAATAACTTGAGTCCAGTGACCCCAACACTCAAACTCAAGCAGGAAACTATTGGGCTGAAGGTCAGCTTGAACCACACAGTGAGTTTCAGATCAACCTGAGCTATTTAGTGAGACCTTAAAAAAATAAATAAATAAAAATAAAAAACCTAGAAAACAAAACACAGACTGATATAACTCACTGGAAATAACTAACAGGAAACTAAAAAACATACAGAAGATAAGCTTGGAGAAGTTGAAGGTACAGATATAAAACATACAACAGAGTAAAGTACAGAATAGGAAAAAGGAGGAAAAAAAATCTGAGGGACTCTCAGAACCTGGATATTACAGGCTAGCTTTTAGCATCTAAAGTCATCAATGACAAACAGGAAACTCCCACCACAGATATACAATGATTCTAGTGAAGCATCAGAGCCAAAGATAAATCCGCCAGCTTCCCTCCCTTCCGGGCAGTAATTTTACCAGAAACTTGAACAATAATTCTATATTAATGTATTCATTATGAAACACAATAAAATTAAGTGATTTTGTTTGTATTTAAATAAACGCACGATCCTCTTTGCCAAAGCCGGTTTTAGATTTCATCCTGAGAGGTCTCTGTGAATATATCCACCTTCCTCTCTATAGCTCAGTTTCTCTGTTAGCAACACTTCAGAGAAAAAGTTAAAAACCACGGACCTCAAGAAACCAGCAGAACTCCCTAAGACATGGTGCAGAAAAGGCACAGCTACTCAAGCCAGGTCTGTGTCCCCCGCAGAAGCCCTGGCATGAAAAAGGAGCCGCCAAGCGTCATCGGGTGATAACAGATCAACTTTAATTCTAGCACCTGAAGCTATACAAGGGTCCGCTTTATAGACTTCATGGGACTGTTGTACACATTCAGTAAAGTGACCACTGTGCAATACCACTGAGAGTCTGAAAACCAGGAACACACTTTGAATTGCTTAAACACAATCCACAGAGTTAAAACAAAATCAGAAGCCATCCACAGTTACACTAATTGTCAAGTAGAGGTTTTACACGTAATACTTGGTAGAGCAGTCAGTATCTAGCGGGGACATTGAACGTGACATCACAGTCTCGTCCTGTTGTGTTCTGTCAGGAGGGTTTTCTGATCATTGGCCACTGGTGGATGCAACAAGGACCAAGCCAGCAAGCAAAAACCCTGGCACAGTCGCCGTGGCTTCCACTTTCTCTTTGTCAGTTAACAGTGAACAGTGAGAATTAAATACTCATCTTTACATATACACAAGGTACGCTGTGAAAGCATATTCGCTTACAAACATATAAAAATACTTGTTAACTAGTTTGATAAGAAAATAACGTATAAAAGTATATAGCAAAAAACATTAATCATCTCTGACTCTGAAAAGATCAATTCCATATTTTATATTACATCAAACAAAAACAGTTTTAGTCTGTGTGGATTGGGTTTTCTTTTTTTAATCCCTTAACCAGGAATACTTGAAAAGGAAGACAGACAGGAACCACTCACTCTTACCCTTACCACGGCTGTGAAAAGAAATCAAGTTCACTGAAACACCTAGGTGCAGAATGAGTCCAAACATTTGGCCACAGAGAATATTGTCATCTTGAAGGAGGCATAATAACAAAGGCTTGATCAGGAGTTTTTAATCCATAAATACAACAGGCATTTTGGTATTCTGGCCACTGGAGAAACAAAAGCCGCAGCATCAGGAAAGGTCTGAGATGTCTCACTTCTGTAGATTCCATTCAGTGTATTTAAGGTTAATGAAAGTTGACATCAAAAGTTTTAAAGATAGGCAAAAATCCACATTAAAAACAAAAACAAAAAAACCTTCCCTATGTTTCTATTTAGAGTAACAGTAGGCAACATGATTCCAGAAGTTAAAAATTGCTTCACAACCTATGACTTCAGCATAGCAAACAGCTTAGGTTCCAAACTTGGTTCATCCCTATTAAAATGTAAGCCCTTAGAGAATGCATCTGTATGTGTAGACATGTGATTTAAAGGAAGCAGACAATGTCTGAAGCAGCCTTAGTGTTTCCTTTACATGGGTCGGGAAAGACCGTTACATTAGCTTCGCAGAAAGGATTAGCCAGCTTCTTGGTGTAAGGCTAAATCGGTGATCATCAGTCTAAGGCTACAAAGGTACCGGCATGATGTAAACGGTAACAGAGATGAGGGCTTCCCTGGCAGTTGTTAGCTAAAACTCAAGGGACTCTTAGAAAATGACACAGTGGCAGCCTTTCTTGTCTTTTTCCTTCCGGGTTGGTTCTGGTGAAGGAGGGCATTCTTGCTCTTGAAATTTCCTGTAAGACAGAGAAACCTGAATAGTATCACCATCAGTACTATTCCAATACAAATACAGGTTATTTCTGGACACACTCCACTGAAACACATACCTATCTCAGTGTTCCCTTATGGCAGCAATTTTCAACCTTCTTAATGTTGCAACCCTTTAATACCAATGGTTCTCAACATGGGGGTCATGGGGGTCACATATCAGAGATCCTGCATATCAGACATTCACATTACAATGCCTAACAGTAGCGAAGTTACCGTTATGAAGTAGCAACA